AAAAAAAAAATCACAAAGGGCAATTGCTTCTTGAGCAGGTTTATTCTAGAAAAACATGAAGGTGAGCATGACTGCCAGGCTACCTGTCCCAGGTAGGTGAGGGTGAAAAGGCTCTGGGATAATGTTAAATGAAAAGCACAGTGCTTAGTCAAGTCTATTATAAACACATTTGATACTAAGCATCTAGGATACCTGAAGATGCTAAAACTTATTTACCAGTCTATGTGAGAAAGCAAGAAATGAGACCAAAAGATAAAATGAACTAAAAATCAGATAACAGATTCACAGAGGAAAAGAATCTTTTTTATCAAAAAGAATTGAGAAAATTCAAACTGATCCAAATATAAATGACAATTGAGAACTGTACACATGGACTATACTAGTACTCAAACAAGTATCAGTAATATCAATAGTCAAGTAAAGGAGATTGGGCCAAATAAAAAGAAACAAAATAATTTCTACAGTTTTCACTTTTTGTGAGTCAATTAACCAAAAATTCAAATTGCTAGATATTTTATACTTTAATGAAAAGATATACTTTCAAAAGATCTGGCTTTTATTCACCCAGCGATTACTCACAGGATATTATGGTTTGCCAGAAAAGAATACTAAAAGGTAATTCTTAGAACAATACTTCTGTCACCTTTGACATCCTTCAGCATTCTTGAGAATTTGTCAGGCACGTTTATAAATCTTTTGGCAGTAGTTGAGACACATTCTATCCAGCTGAGCCGTTTCCAGCTGGATTAACTAAACCCTTAATAATGACCTCACATAGGGTACTTGTTTTCTGGATAGTCAGAAGCCCTAGCCCCAGGCTCAACAATACTAAAGTTAAGTGTATGCTCATCCTGCCATTCATTTCTAAGGAAGCCTCGACTTTGGAAACTAGACCTTCCAGGCAAACACCTTTGATTCTTTACAGTCTGGTCTCTTGAGTTTAGTTCGGCTGATGAGACATGGCTGTACATCAGTGGTTGAATCCGCTTTCCTGACTTGACCACTAGTAAAGGGTTTTCAAAACTCTATGAAGTTTAACACTCATAAGTCCAAAGGCATGGAAGTGAAATAGCTGAATAATCATTAGAACGACTGAATCATCTGTCTAGTGCATACAGCACATGCAAGCAAGAAGGAAGGAAGAGATCTGGCCAATACAGCTCATTTGGGAGAAAACAAGAAGTGTTTCCAAAGCACGGAATTCCACCTAAGTTTACCGGACAACAAAGCATGCCAACACCCCCGAGCATTAAAATTAAGGAACAAAAGGGAGTATGATGAAGAAAGGCTGCTGAAAAATACAGTGTGTTTTCAGGTGGTTTCCTACCCCCTACCATCAGCCGAAGTGGGTGTCTGTACCACACTTGTCTGCTGTCCTGGCACCGGAGCTCTGGCGCTGCTGATCAGAAGATCAAATTTGGTGCTTCTGCAGGTATTGGAGCAAACCTTGTCATGCTGGTAGAAATCAATCTGTCCAGAGTCCATCATTTTCCTGTGCAAAGGGAAACAAGAAGTACTAGTTCAGCCTGCATTCCACCTAAAGAAAACTAGGCCTCAGAGATAAATTGAGACAACATTGCTGAATTTACTCTGTAGATTAGTGAAACCCAATAGTATTAAAAGTCATTAGGCTGCAAAAATTCTAATTGGGCTATAAAAGTTTCATTGGTCTCGCCCACGTTTACCAGTGCCACTCTCCTCTTCCTAGTCTACTTATTATGACTCCTCTCCTCTTTCCTGTCATTACTAAGGTGTAGGTAATACTCCTAACAATAGCCAAGTTTCCCCACAGAACCTCGATGATACCAAACCCAAAAGGCCTTGGGTTAAAAGAATAAAGACTCACCATCATAGCAAAACTAAGAAGAACCACAAGGAAATTCAAAAATTTTGATCTGCTTCTGATGTATTATTATTATTACAATTCCTAGATCAGTAATATTTATTGCCACTTTCAAAGCTACAAAGCTCTAACAGATTGCATTCCCTTAAAATAAATAAATA